ATCTAGAAAAAATAACAACTTAAACTCAAATAATTCTAATAATAACAAAATCACTAAAAATAATACAAATAAAAATATTAATGAAATATTAAATCAAGAACGAAAATTTAATGGAAATTCACAAGATCGAAAACAAAATATAAATGAAATGAAGCCATACTTAACGCAAATGAACGAGAAATATAAAAGTGAGAAGCAGTTTCTAGCATTAAACAAAATGGCACCTACAAAGATACCAACGATCTCAGAACAACAAGCTGCAGTCTATAAGTTAACTCGAACGAGTAATTTAACTGGAGCTAGTTACTTAACAACTGGAACTAGTAGGTCGACTGCATCAAAAACTTTAACTATACCAATGAATCCGACTAAAGCAAATAATATGATTCAAAAAACTACAACCGATAGCAACACCCAAACTAGTTTTATTTTCAATACTAAAACTAGTGAGAATATTAAAAATCCGATTGACGAATTCAAATTAAACAACAATGGACAATTAACAGAATATTTAACAAATGGTTACGGAAAGAGCACAAATTCTACTAAATTACCAGTTAATAATTCAACGAATTGTTCAACAAATTTAGAGTTCCGAGGAACTAAACAGAAAAATTTGACCTTAACCAATAACAGTTCTGAAAATGACTTTTTAAATGAAATAATAACTAGTGAGAATGTTGGCAAATATATTAACGAGTTGATATTAAATAAAGCGGGCGAGTTAACTGTAGAGCAAAAAAGGAAAAAAAATGAATTGACTATGTATTTAGCACATTTGCAGGAAAAATCAAAAGAATGTCATTTAACAAATAATGAAATTTCAACTCTATCTATAGATAAACAAAATATGGTACATTATTCACCTGGACCGACTTTTTTTACAATAACGAACCACTTAAAGAAAAAAACAGTTCCAGCGAGTAAATTAGCTACATCGACCAAGACAACTAATAGTGTGAAATCTCTCTCTACTGTTAAAACTAACTCGTCGCCTAAAACAAAATGTTCAAGCAGTTCTAAAACCAGATGCCATAACAATAGAATTACGAGTGAACATTTGGAGAAAGAAATTGAACATGTAAAATTAAACCAACGTGATGAAGGGATTAAAGACCGTAATAAACTGGAACATAAAGCTAGTGAAAAATGTAATTCTGTTAAACAACATGATTATAATAATACACTGGCAAATCGTATTAAAATGACTGATAATAATGTAATTAATTCTCCCAGTAAATCAACTATAAGTCGTATGCCAGTAGCTAGAGCTTCCTCAACTCCGGTTAAGAAATCAATTGCAAGTTATAATTCAAATGCTGTGAGTAATTCACCTCTAAAAAGTAATTCGTCTATAACAAAAAGTACATTTATGGTAAAAAACTCGACTATAATAAATAACTCACCTAACTTATTGTGTAGTGTATCTCAAGTCTTCAATTCGTACGAACGTCATACAAATAGTTTCTATAATAATAAAATAACTATTGAAAATGTTAATATGTATATCAACACATTGATATTAAATCAGAATCAAGTGTTAACCAAAAAAGAAGCAGAGAAGAAACATGAATTGATAACATTTTTAATGCAATTTGATCAAATTAAAGAATGTGAAGAACAAGGTAGCTCTATTGAAACATGTGCCAAAAAAATGGGTGTACCAACTCCAAAATCCAACAGACCATCAAGTACGCACAATAAACCAACTATAACAAGTAGTACACCATTAAGGTCTGATGTATGCGTAGGACCCCACTCTTCACAAGTACCTAAAACTAATCGTGATTGTTCCAATAGTTGCTTCTATAATGAAAAAATTACTAAGAAAAATGTTGAGTTCTATATTGATAAATTGATCTTAAAGCAAAATGGCAAATTAAACGAAAAACAAGAACAAAAGAAAAATGAATTAGTAATGTATTTGATGCAAATTGATGAAGAGAATGAACTTAATGGAAAGGTGAACGCAGAGAATCTAAACACAAATGCTGCTACTAAGGACATCAAATGTACCAATAGTGATAGTGCGCTTGGACAACGCGTTGCTCATAACTCTGGAAACTGTATGGGTTCAAATAAAGCTACTTCGGAACCGTGTAATTGTAAAAAATATGAAAAAATTTTGAAAATTTTAGATAGATTAGCAGTTTCTTCCGATAAAGAGCCCTACAAATTTATTCCTCTTAAAAATATTATTAATAAAAGAATTGGTTAGAAAAGTTCTGGAACAAGTATATATCATAAATTGTAATAGATAAGTTAAAGATTGTATACTGATTGTGTGTATTATCATTATGACCTGTCTAATCTCTATGTTGTATGTGTAATGTTATTGTAATAAGTATAAAATGATTGTTAAGAATATAATTGTCTATTTTAAGTTATTCACCATTATTAAATTGTCACTAATAAACGAAATTATATAGCCGCTGGGTATACGGTTTTTAAATAACAAAATTATTTGCTTACTTGCTTGGTCTTCAACGAGTTGGCGAGAGAGGAGTACATCTACTATTTACTTACTTTTTAGTTACTGACTTACTTTTCCTGCGGAACAAAAGTTCCGATAATGTCCTTAAGCTAGACTTTATTTTATAAGGTATTATATTTCCTGAAGTAATTCTATATAGTGTGGCGTCTTTAACAAGACGTAGAGTTGGAGTCCATCTACTTTTAATTAACTTTTTAGCTAATGATTTATTATACCTGTGAAGGCTCCGATAATGTCCTTAAGCGAGACTTCATTTTATGAGCTATAACACCCCGTGAATACGTGTTTTAGATTATTAGTATTATAAAGTTTGCTAAGAAAAAAAAGAACTAAATTAATATATTTTATCTTCAGTTACTTATATATCTGCAAAACTTCTGCAGATAACATGGAAGACATTACATGCCACGTACATGGAATTGGATGTGGGTGGGTAATAATGTAATAGAGGGAATGTGTTCCAAGAACTGTCGGGCCTACATCCCAGAGCCACTCGCTAATTGTAACGAAAAAGTATGGTTCACCACCTCCTAAAGGAACTACACAACCAAAAAGCAACGTCTCTGTGTAATATATGTCATTTCAACAATTATTCTAAATTATAAATATGTGAAGACTTTGCAAAAAGGACCATAACTAGAACTGAGTTGTACTTCTGAGTCTTTTCTGATCAGGATCAAAATTGTAGAGCGGGATTACAGGAAAGGTACGGACGATGTCGCCCAGATAAGGGGACAGAAATTGAGGAGGCTTGTACCTCATATTATTCAGTAGATTGATAAAAAATTGAGCTGGTTACGTCATTGATTAGGCATATCCAGTCTATAATTTCCGAATATTTCTTTTGTATGGTCCTATCAAATTTATTGCAATCTATTTCAAGTTGATTAGAGATTTGACATAGCATTATTTGATTTGAGTCTGTTCATCGAATAAAATTTTTTTTGTTTTCAATATTTAAATAATATTAGGTAGTCAATGAAATTACCTCTGAATTTCTATTATAAAAAGATAATATTTTTTAACAAATCCATGTACATGTTCAACTGATCTCATACTTTAATGAAATTATGCTATATAGAGAAATCGACGGCATTTTACCATACGTTAATACAATATCAATTAACGTATTTTCGCAATTAAATCGCTAATTGTGTATCAATTAGTTCCACTTTCCATACAATAACGTTCGACATAATTGACCAAATTGACTGCAGTTAAGGGAATACTAGAAAAACAAAACTTATTTAAATAATTTTGTATAAAAAAATGTACATAGCAATTATTTTGATGATTATCGGTTTTAAGTCTCGAAAGAAGCAATAAATTGACTGAACATTATGTAAGAAATGTATCAATCAATTGAGCAAGACAGATGCTACATTAGAACCCACAGAAATTTTTTTTGTCTGAGTCAGTAGTCAAATCGTAATTTTAAATTGTAATAGAAACTGCGATGAAAGTATTTAAGTAGATGTGGTTGAAGCGATAAGAGATATATTGTCAAGACCCTATGATTCATTGTGAGGTAAGGGTTCATAGCAAGTAAGTAAGTTAATACCCTAGGATTCATTTTGAGCTAAGTAAGTAAGTTAAGACCTTATCATTCATTGTAAGTTAAGGATCATAGTAAGTAAGTAAGTAAGTAGTAAGTTAAGATCTTATGATTCATTTTGAGTTTAGGATCATAGTAAGTAAGTAAGTTAAGACCTTATGATTCATTGTGAGTTAAGGATCATAGTAAGTAAGTAAGTAAGTTAAGATCTTATGATTCGTTGTGAGTTAAGGTTCATAGTAAGTAAGTAAGTAGTAAGTTAAGACCTTACAATTCATTGTGAGTTAAGGATCATAGTAAGTAAGTAAGTAAGTTAAGATCTTATGATTCGTTGTGAGATAAGGTTCATAGTAACTAAGTAAGTAAGTAGTAAGTTAAGACCTTACGATTCATTGCGAGTTAAGGATCATAGTAAGTAAGTAAGTAAGTAGTAAGTTAAGACCTTACAATTCATTGTGAGTTAAGGATCATAGTAAGTAAGTAAGTTAAGACCTTATGATTCATTGTGAGTTAAGGATCATAGTAAGTAAGTAAGTAAGTTAAGATCTTATGATTCATTGTGAGTTTAGGATCATAGTAAATAAGTAAGTAAGTAAGTTAAGATCTTATGATTCATTGTGAGTTAAGGTTCATAGTAAGTAAGTATGAAGTTAAGACCTTACGATTCATTGTGAGTTAAGGACCATAGTAAGTAAGTTAATACCCTATGATTCATGGTGAGTTAAGGACCATAGTAAGTAAGTTTCAATTTAAAATTCAATTTTATTACATTACATTTAAAATAAGTTTACAAATATAATCATATACATAAAATAGTTTTGTTTTTAACATGGACATATTACAAAATTATTACAATATTTCTTCTTCAAACGTCAACATATATTAGGACTTACAAATAAATTATTTTTTAAAACATTTTAATTCTTATTTGTTTAATGAAGACTAGACATAGCCTTCATGTTTAATTGCAAAAATTTCATTAGAAGTATAAACACTATATTTCTTAATATCTGGAACTGTCACTATCTTCAGAAACTGATGTACTATCATTACTTTCTTCAGAAACTGATGTACTATCACTACTCTCTTCAGAACTTGATGAACTATTACTGAGTGAAGAATTACTTCTATCAGAGTTATTGAATAAACTGCTGTCACTTGTATCCGAAGCAACTAAAATTTGAACAATATATGAAATTTATATATAAACATATATATTTATAAATGTACAGTAATCTCCGTTATAACGCGGTAGATTGATTCCGCTTTGTTAGAAAAAAGTATTATAGGGGTATCCCGTATACCCCGTATACACACGTGGAAAGGTAGGCGAAGCTAATTCTGAACTATACAAATCCCCGCGTCATATGGTGGAATAATTGTGTCATACGCGGGATTGAATTAGCTTGATATGAAAACGCGTTATAAGGGTACCGCGTTATAGGGGGATTACTGTATATATCTTCAAACTTTAGTACTTACAATTGAATTCACTCTCTAAATAGCTTCCGTCACTCGAACCTTTTGCAGTTGTAAAAAAAACAAACAATTTAAGAATTAGTTAATTATTGAATTTATTTTTTTTTTGTTTTTTTGGAAATAGATTTTACATTAAAAAAGTCAATAGATACAATTAATCAAAAATACAAAAAAAAAACTGACACGACATTGATACATAAAGAATTAGTTACAATATTAAAAATTACAATTATTACAATCTTTTTTCACATTTTCAAAATAATATACCAAATACTTAATAATTGGTTTTAATAATAAATTATTTTTAGATTAATTGTCACAGATATTAGTAAGAGTATTTATTATGAATTAACGTTTCTTTTTTGGTATGGATTTTGGTTTAGTGGTCTTAGTACCTTTATTTCCAACCACAGCCCTTAAAGCCTTTAAACTGAAAGCAGGCCCAGGCACCTTACCAGAACCTTTTTTTGACTTACTGGTATCCTCCTCACTGGAACTATCATCACTGTCATCCGAATCACTGTCACAACAATCACTACAACTGCAACTGCTGCTGTCATCACTGCCACAGCAATCACTGCAACTGCAACTGCTGCTCGAATCATCAGAGCTGCCACCTGAATATCGGGATTTCAAAGTAAATATTAATTTGTCATACATAATAATATTAAGTCACTCATTTCTAGTACGTATATACTTACATTTGCATTCGCAGTCCGACGGACATGACGACTCATCATCGTCTGAACTACTTTTCTTTTTAGATTTTGCTTTTCCACCGCTCGACTTTTTGGCTGGCGCTTTTTTGGGTTTAGCCGATTTCTTAGTATTCGAACTTTTATCACTTTTCAGCATCTGCTCTGCTAAATAAACTTCCAGTTTCTTTTTGGTTGCTTGTTGTTCCTTACTCAGTTTTCCCTTTGGTTCAGTTATCAATTCCTTGATGTATTTATTGACATTACGACTATTAAATTTAATTGGAGCATTTTTGATATCTGGTGACTTTAAGAGTTCCCCTTTAATTTTTGTTCCAGTGGAACGTCTCGCAAGAGGTACCCCAGGCATTTTGACAAATTTTTAAAATAAAATAATTAATTGTTAAATATATTAATGGTTAACCTTGGAAATAATTATATTTTTAACTGTTCAATTGTTCCGTTAAGACCTGCTTTTTTAACGTGTTCACAGAACGAAAGCTAAAATTAATTGCATTTATTCTGATTTTTGTTGCCCGGCTATGACTTGCGGATTTAAGAATAACGGATCGCGGTAAAACACAGTGTTGAAAATAAATTTGTTTATAATATAGAAATATCTTTAAGCCCAGCAGCAATTTAATTAGGACTGAATAACGTTATCTATTTGCTTAAAATTGCTTAATAAATGAACATATGTGCAAGTCTGCTTATATCGAGCGATCAGATGACTGTTTGTTATCCCGAATGCGAAAATAGTTTACCAGGCGTCATAATCTTTTCTCTGGTGTTCTTCATCCAGCAAAATTTCTCATCGACCTGCTGAATATTATGAGGTAGAAGACTCCACAATTTCTGACCCTTTATCTGGATGATATCGTCCACATTTCTTCTGTAATCCCGCTCTACAATCGTGGTTACAACAATCTCTTACAAAGAGTTTACTCTTAGTCAGTAATTACTTCATAGCAAGAACATTCTCCGTCTCTCTAGTCACTTATTTACAAATTTGGTTTCAATATATTGGTTGCCTATATATATACTAAGCTCTTTGTATTCTATTGTCTGCCTTTCCCTTGATAACTGGAATGGTGTTTCAACTTTCGACCTTAACAGATCAATGTTTATATTACAAGTTTCTCATATTTAAATAGGCACAATCAGTTCCTTTTTATATTTTTAAGAAAGTGCTTCTTTTAATACCACGTCAAAAAAAACTCGAAAAAATTATATAAACTAATTTTAGCAAAGTTGAATAGCGAAAATAGGTACTGTAAATATGGATTAGTTTCATTTAATACCTTTTATTGTATATAGCTCTGAAAATAATATACTATCCATAAGTTTTTAGTACAAAAATATCGAAATGACATATTGTTTAACTTTAAGTGCAGCTAAATCAACTTATATAGTATTAATCAACTCAATATTTAGTCGTTCCCATTGGCATAAGTTGATTTATGCATGTGAAAGAGCTTGTATGTCAGAAAGTTCTACAAGCTGTAGTTTATTTTCATTTCAATTGTTAGCAGATAAGGTTTGATTTTGTATTTCGAGAAAATGGAGAAATTGATGGACTTTTGTTAATATGGGTAGTAAATATTAGGCCTTTTCGGTGGCTCGCAAGTACGGCAAAAAATGCATGTTGGCCTATGTTGGCCTATGTTGGCCACGCAAGTCATTGGCATCACTGTTGCAATCTGTCAAATGTTTTGTTTTGACAAACAGCAAATCTTGTATATGTGCATATAAATCAAATATATTTTTATAAAAATATTATAAAATTAAAATGAACACGGAATTAAAAGGAATTGTAAGAATATTGGAAATTTAAAAATAAAACACTAAGATAAGTAAATTTTTGTAGGTACTGTCGATGTTGGGAGAAGGAAGCAACGTTTTGCAGTGGCCGAGGGATGCAAGTTGTTTCACGGATTTTTTAAATGTTATGAATGCCGCAACAACCTCCTCTGAAGATTCTCTTCCTTTCGTGTCAAGTAGCACTCTAGAAAACACTTCGTTTCCTTTGTGGTCCATAGTTTGGGTGTATTTCTATAAAAAATTTTTTAGAAAAACTTCAAAAATTATGTTTGTTTATTAATTTTACGTATGTAAACTACAAATTAAATGAAATAAAATAAATGTTACTTGGTAATAACTAACATAATAAAAAATTCAATGTGCTTAATACTTACGATTTCTCCATTCTTATTATTTCTTCGTTACTTTTCAAGATTTTTCAAATTTTTGAATTCTGTTTGAATTTTTATTTCCTCAATTTTTGCCATTTGATTGCACTATTCGTTGGAATTTTCAATGAAGGTTCACAATAGTTCGCTTATTGCGTTGGTAACATTTTTTTTTTTACTGGCCGATGTGGTTGGCCAGCATAACTATGCTTGCCGAGGTAGAGAAAATATTGTTGTTGTTTTGCATACATTGCGGCCAGTATAGGCCTGCATAGGCCAACAACTTGCTGTTTTTTGCCGTACTTGCGAGCCACCGAATACGCCTATTATTGAATTGTGTGTGTAAAATTTGAATATGTTGGTATTTTAGCAAAGATATTATATATAAACACATTTATATATGTCATTTATATGACTTAATTATACAAAAACAAACATTTAAAAAAATTTTAACTTCTAGTATCATGTTTCCACTGCAGATAAAATAACTTATTATAATGAAATTAAGATTAAGTCTTAATTAAATCAATTACTTTCTAAATATATGACAAATATTTCAAATATTAGTAATTTCTCTTGTGAGAAATTTACTTCTTATGACTGCATTGAAATTTTTGAGCTGATTTATTTATTATGAGCTTATTTATATGAAAGCTCGTTGTATAGTAAATTATTCTCATTAGAAGTCTTAATGAGCAAAATTCCTACAAGAGAAATATTTTTCATGTATTTTATATGTAAAATGTAAACAAACAACAACTGAGCTGTAAATATAAGCACTGTGGAAGTAAGTATATAATAAAATCTGTATTTATATTAATTGAATACATAATAGTATTGAAATTTAAAAATTAAAAATAAAAATATAATTGATTAATTCAATTATTCTACAGCCGGTTTATGATTTCGTTCTAATATAATCACAGCAAGTGAATTTGTTAATAAAACTGTCACAGCAAATTAACAAAACTCCGGACAAATGTGCAAACACAAAAGTTAAGTACGGCTTTGGGCCAGTTAGTTCAGGTGGTAGGACACGAATTCGATTCCTGTTACTTCCAGTCTCAAAAAATGATTTAGGAATAATTAAATACAAGAATTATGTCCAAAATCACTAATGATGGGTATTTTGCAATACTCGCAACAGCTGTATTGTTAGCCAAAAATTCAATTAGTTAAAATAATATAAAATGAATTTTTGTTGTTGTAGTTCACTACTTTTCGAAAAACTTCTGCATATTTAATTATATATGTAATTGATTTAGAAAATGTGTATAAATGATTTAATATTTTATTTATAAATATTATTTTTTGTGTGTTATATTATTATGTGAAGTTTATAAAAATTTATAAAAGTTTTATGAGCTGCATAAATGAGCTCATCATAATGTGAACATTCACTCATTGATAAAAGTCAGCAAGTGCCAAATGAGACATTGAGAATTTACTATTAATCAAGTTGATTAACAAATAAAGTCAATGGGAACATATTATTATACTATTTTATATTTAAAATTTATATGTTGTTGTTGTTTAGTTAGTGCTATTGCGCACTTTTACTCTTTTGTGGTTGGGGGCCCATCACTGCCCCACACTAACCTGTAACTATACTAGAATTATTATCGTTTATTTATCTTTTAACTGATGACGAACCGTTGATCAGCATATCTTCCTATGCGTTCTGATGTGGACTTAAGGTTTGTTCACGTATCGACTTTTGTCAATAATTTTAGGGCTCTGAACTTGATATAGTACAGAGCCTCTCTGAACATTTTGATACCGTGCGAGGCTTCAGACAAGGTGATCCCTTATCATGTGACCTCTTCAATTTCGTCATGGAAGTGATCATGCGCAGGGCAGGTGTTCATCGTAATGGAACAATATTCTACAAATGTGTCCAGCTCCTTGCTTACGCCGACGACATTGACATCATTGGGCGTAGCAAGCGTGATGTTACAGCTGCTTTTGCTGCTATCGAAAAGGAATCTGCAAGAATGGGTTTAGCGATGAATGAGGGAAAAACGAAGTATATGTCGGCTACTGGTAGAAATGTGCGTCGCTCGGACACCGGGCTAGTGGCTGGCGACTATAATTTCGAATCTGTCAAGGATTTCATCTACCTTGGCGCCGCCGTAACGAATACAAATGATGTCAGTCTGGAGATCAGACGAAGAATCACCATTGCTAATAGGTGCTACTATGGGCTCAGTAGGCAATTGGGATGTAGAGCCCTCTCTCGACAAACGAAACTTACGCTCTATAGGTCGCTCATCCTCCCTGTGCTTCTGTACGGCGCAGAAGCATGGACGTTATCACAGAATGATGAAGCAGAACTGGGAGTGTTCGAGGGAAAAGTTCTTCGTAAGATCTTTGTTCCTCTACGAGTTGGCGACGACTACCGCATTAGAATGAACCACGAGCTGTACGAGCTTTATCACGACATTGATATAATTCAGCACATTAACATCCAGCGGCTTCGCTGGCTTGGTCATGTCGTGAGAATGGATGAAGACGCTCCGGTGAAAAAGGTGTTTGAAGCAGTAGTTGGCGGAAGAAGACGTAGAGGTAGACCGTGTCTCCGGTGGAGTGATCAAGTTGAGGGAGCACTAACTGGACTTGATATACGAGACTGGAGAAGGCGCGCACGCAGCAGGGGCGCCTGGAGAGACATGCTGCGTCAGGTCGAAACTCGGTAACGGGTTGTTATGGCCACATAAGTAAGTAAGTACTTGATATATTTTTTCACTGAGTCGCTCCCTAGATCTCTATGCATATCTGTTGTTTTAATATAACAAGAAATTTTAATTTATATATATATACATATATATAAATAGCTATCTTCTGTAATTTTCTAAATTATATCAATATGTCAATTTTTTTCTCATTTATGTTATTTTATTTAAATTCCCAATAGTTGATTTTAAAAATATATAATAAAACAAATTTTGTATAATTGCTGTTTTTTATTGTGACTTGCACGTTTTGTAAGAAGAAGCAAGTGTGAAGGCACGTGTAGTGAATTTGACATTTTTCTGCAATATAAAAACAAAACATTGAAATTAATATACACATTTTTTATAAGGAAATTAACAGTTAATAGAAACAGTAAATCCAAAAATTTAAAATGTCAGAAAGAATATCTGCATTTGCGGCTTATAAAGCAAATGGCGTAAGCAGAAAACCAAAAAGCGTTTCAATAAAAATCGGGAACTCAAGCGCAAGAAATGCTAAGCTGAAGAATATCAGTACCAACACAAAAATTAACAAAAAGATCACCAGTACGATCAAAATGCCTACTGTGGCTCCAACAAAACCTACGACAAATATTGCTAAAACCACCGCATCACAGATAACTACAAAAAAAATGCCAGTAAAAGCCCATACTAAAGAAGTCACAGTACAGAATGGAGCCAGTAAACCGGCAAACAAAAAAAATCCACAAAAGCCGAATAAATCGGCAACCTCTGTTCAAATTGATAATTCCAATATCAATCTATTAGTTGAGGAACTCTTCGATAGTAATAAAAAGTTAACCAAAGCGCAAGAGAAAAAAAAGGAGCAATTGGAAAAGTATTTATTGGATCAAATGCAGACCGGTGGATCCAATGGTACAAGTAGCACTTTGGAATCCGAGATATATGATGACGAAGATGAAACGAACAGTAAGTACTAAGTGAAGATCACAACACAGTTTTATTTATATTAAGATATTTTTAAGGTTACTCTAATTCAGAGAACGAAGTGAGTAGTAAAACGTCGTCAGAAGTGCTTACCAAAACATCCAGCTCAGAGCCAGCGGCTAAACCAAGTAAAAATGGCATAAAACGCAAACATGACACTGCGTCAGCTTCTACAAACAAGGAAGAAGCAATTATAGAAACTAGTGTAGAAGCTAAGAGATCCAAAACACAAAATGTTAAAAATGCTGAAACATTCAACCGGAAATCTACGTCTTCGTTAAAAGAAAGTAAATCAAAGCTACAACAAAAGCGTTCACTGGGTGGTACAGCTATTGCAAGTGATAAAGAAATAAAATGCACACCACATAACGTAGGTGCTGATATCAAATTGGAACCACTTTCACCACCGCATAGCATAATAAAAATGAATAGCATAAAAGAGGGTGAAAAGATGTTCCATTGGTTATTAAATCCAGTGGAAATCAGAGATTTCTTCACAAAATATTGGGAAAAAAATGCTTGCTTTATTAAACGCCAACATGCCAATTACTATTCTACGCTAATCTCTTTTGAGGCCATTGACAAAATGCTTCTTAAGAACTATATTGAGTTCACCAAGAATATTGATGTCACCAGCTATGAAAATGGTTAGTCATAACTGCAGTATATAAACTGTTTTGTTGTATATGAAACTATTTTTATTTTATAGGTGTACGTATGACGCACAATCCAGAAGGACGTGCAATGCCACCAGTTGTATGGGAGCATTATGGCAGAGGCTGCAGCATACGTTTGTTGAATCCACAAACATATTTGCAACCGATTTACACGCTAAATGCTTCAATGCAAGAGTACTTTCAGTGCATGGTTGGTGCTAATGTATATCTAACTCCACCCAATAGTCAAGGTTTTGCACCACATTACGACGATATAGAAGCATTTGTGCTGCAGGTGGAAGGACGTAAACGTTGGAAACTATATAAACCGCGTAGCACAAGTGAAATGTTGCCGCGTGTTTCATCGAAAAATTTTGAACAAGCGGAAATTGGTGAACCTATAATGGATGAAGTGTTGCATCCAGGAGATGTACTTTACTTTCCACGTGGTGTTATACATCAAGCATGCACTGAACCAGGTTACCATTCGCTGCATGTGACTATAAGTGTTTATCAAAAACATTGCTATGCTGATCTTATAGAACACATGATGCCCATGATCTTACAGCATGCTTTTACCAATAATCTTGATTTAAGACGTGGAGTACCAATGCATATGTGGCAACATGCTGGTCTAACGTTTAGCGAAAACGATACTAGAGAACGTGCAGATTTGTTGAAGAATGTCTCACAACTAATAACGAAATGCATGCGTGATTTTCCTCTTAATGAAATTCTCGATGCTTCTGTCGATCAAATGGCAAAGAAATATCAGCATGAAGCTTTACCACCAGAAATACACCCATCTGAATCAATACGCACTATATTCGGTTCACGTAATCGCACCAACGAGAAGGGTGAGTGTATTTGTGATGATTATGACATTGATTTAACAACCAATGTACGACCTCTACGTGCTAACATTATGCGTTTGGTTAATGAAGATGGAAAATTACGCGTCTACTATTACTTAAATAATTCCAAACAGTATTGTGAGTATGAGCCAAATTTTCTTGAAATCGGACCCAATGATGCGACCATCATTGAAGTGCTCATCAAATCGTATCCAGAATATGTGGGTGTTGGTCAGCTGCCTTCTGATGATGAGCAGCATAAAATTGAAGTAATAACTGGTTTATTTGAGTTAGGTCTAGTGATGCTAGAGAAACCCATTAAATAAGTAAAGGCTTTTTAATTGAAAATTTATTCTTTTTGATGTTATAAAACCAATGTCTTATTTTCAAATTATTAAGTCTGCTAGTTTAAGAAAATTTTTTAACAACTAAACAAAATATTAATTGCATTATCTAGAAATATGATGTCTAAAAAAGGAGACTACTATGTAAAACATATAATTTTTGTTAAATGCTAAATTATGTTGTATATTCCTATAAAAACTAAATTGATTGTTATTTTAATATATGTCACATTGTAGACAAATTGACTATAATTAATAATTTGTTACTTTTTTAAATATCCATATCCATATATAGCCCGTGTCGATTATGTAGTGAGCAATGGACGATGCTTGCTCGTCAAAAGTGACGCATGGCTTCGGAATGTAGACCCGGCCGTTCTTGGAAGCACTACTAGTAGTTGTAGGTCTCAGTAGTCTGATGAAGCTTTTACATTTCACACACTCGGTTACTACTTAAGGGTTTGAATAATGCTTATAGTCTTCTATGATAATTACTATTTCAATTCTTTGTAGATTAGATACTAATTGTTACGATTGTCTTCCTCTCAGAGTACACAGAATATTATATCCACAAGCTAAGCCTTTATAGAATGTCTCTTAGAAATCTGCTCTAAGAGCTTTGTAATAGTAAATGATATATATTATGTGATACAATCATAAAATAGTTCTAGTTCCAAGTACGACGGTGTCACTCTTCAACCACGATAACTAAGTGCCGTTAACTATCTTCAAAGAAATTTAATAAACAGATCCCTGCGAGCTACTACAACAACAAGAACATAAAATAGATCTGTGCTGAAGATAATTAAATTGACGTTTCACACTGTGGGCCACTACTTAAGGGTTTTAATAGTGGTTCTACTCTTTTACGATAATTAAAATTTGAAATCTTTGTAGCTTGGATTTCAAGTGCTACGATTTTAAGAGTTTTGTAGTAGTAATGTAAAGATCGTATACACAATCATGTATTAGATCAGTGTAGCAGTTCATTGAATTCCGAATACCGATGGGTTTGGTACTCTGTGATTTATTTTTATTTTATTTTTTATCTTTTGTTCTCACAAACCCGTTTTATAATTTGTTCAATATTATTTTTGATACTGATAAAGAGAGAGAGAGAGAGAGAGAGAGAAAGAGAGTATTTATATTTATATTCACTTGGAATTGAAGCCTTAGGTTATATTTGCGATCATATATTAGATCCGTATAGGAGAGTTCATTGACTTTCTAATACGGATGGGTTTGCTACTCTGTGATTTATTTTCAGTTTGGGATCTTTGATCTTCTCACAATCTTGTTTTATAATTTAATTAGGTCTGTAACATATAGAATCTTAAACTTATTGTACAGCTTCTTTTTTTTTTTAAGATCATGATTTGTAACTTAAAAAACGGTTTAGTTCTTACTCTGTGAAGACATTAGTTATACCTTCTGCTCAAAAAGTATCCGGATTTTGTTGTTTGTTAACTACTCTTTAAATAATAAACCTTTTTCAAAAATTTTTCTTTTGTTATGTTGGTACACCCTTTCTTGAGCGCCATCTGTCAATTAGTTTGTATTCAGTAGCTGTTATTGTGAGACTACCTCAAGTGCATTTAGCGATTTTTATTATGGAAAATTCTTGTTATACGCGATTTTCCGACCAAACACGGCACCACTGTCATCGCTTTAGGCACCATATTCGCCAGCTCTGGATCCGTGCGACTTTTTCCTGTTCCCGAAACTCAAATTACCCCTTCGTGGTAAGCGTTTTGAGTCAATTGAATCGGTAAAAGAGAATTCGCCGAAGGAACTAAAAGCCATACCTGCACGGGCCTATGAAAAGTGTATGGAAGATTGGGTTAAGCGTTGCCATACGTGTATCGCTGCAGAAGAAGCATCTTTTAAAGGAGATAAAATAAATTTGGGATAAAGTTTAAATTTGTATGTTTTATTTACAAAATCCGATTACTTTCTGAGCAGAAGGTATCTTCAATATTTTTTTTTGCTGTTCTCTTGTGTTCAGATTTATTAATGTTTTACTGTACTTATAATCTACATTTCCATACAGATAAGTTCTTATGAAATTTCTTTTCTTATTTCATTTCTTCTCTTTTTTTTATCATGTGGTATCGTTTTTCTCTCTCCCTGAGATGTAAAATCGAGAGGTTCTATTTTATTTATAGTCAAAATTTCTTTTCAAAGAATATCTTACAGGTTTTTTTGTGCTTTTATTATGGGAAGCAATCAGTTGGGAATTCTTGAGGTTTTATTTTATTCTACTTACAATCTAAATTTTCATTAAAAAAGCTTCTTATGGAAGTTATTTTAGTTCTATTATATGGAACCGGATTACTTTCTTCCTGGGATGTAAAATCTAATGATTCTATCGTGTTTACAATCTGAATTTATTTTCAAAGAAGATCTTACAGGATTTTATATTGTTATAGGTTAGGTTATATTGTTTTCACAATTTAAATTTCTTTTTAAAGAAGATTTAATAGAATTTGCTGCTGCGATTATGTGACCCTTTTTTCTTTTCCTCTGAGATGTGAAATCCAGAAGTTCTATTGTATTTACGATGTAAATTTTAATTCAGCGAAGATCGCATAAGATTTTATCTTTGCTTCTATTCTGTACACGGTTTGCTCCTCCCTTGGGATGCGAATTATAACGGTTCGACTGTATTTACAAAATACTCTAATTTAATATATTGGAATATGCATCCTTTTAGGAACAAATTTGCAGTTTCGAAAGTGAAAAAATTATTCTCTTTTTACATTCATTTATTTTGAGTGAAAGTATTTTAACAGATTTAACAACCTTTCAGAAATTATAATTTATTTGTAGTTCTAAAATTATAATTACATTATTTAAAAAATTGTATCCGACCTCCTATATCATTAGTCATTACTGCAATCATCTCTATCATTACAAAAATAAGTGTCTATGAAATCATTGGCCTTTTTATAGATACACTCATTTTCATGTTGCTGTAAAGCCTCTATCTTATCCAAGCCATTGATTTCCTCCAAAGTAATACACAGTCTTTTCAAATCATCGACGCTCTCATATAGTTTAAATATTTTTCCTAGTGCGCAGAGAACGATTAATATAGTATCTGCATCTTGTGCCTTTAGTAAATCAGTAAACGGTTTCAACAATTGATATTCATTCAACATATACATTATTTGCTCCGGGGAACCCATTGCTATAGTATTACTCACAGCTAATGCAGCCTCAATTTTGCAATCGAAATCATTTTGCTCCAGTATATGACGTATGTAGGTAAACAAATCAGCATTTAAAACCGCTTGAATTTGATTTTGATTACCGGCAGTTAAATTGCTAACAATCCAGGCCGCATCTTTCACAACCAACTTATTCTCATGTTGTAATAATCCAACCAACTTTGGCAAAATCTCGGCTTTAATTACTTCATCGGTCTGAGCATCTGTGCCAGTAACTATGTTGCCAATAGTACGTAGTGCAGGTATAGTAATGGTATTCTCTTCACAGTCTAATATGTCAATAAGACGCGGCACGACACCTGCATCAATCACGGCTTGAATTTTAAGTTTATCATTGGTGGTTATGAAAGATAATGCAAAACAAACATTACTTAAAACCTGCTTATCACTGATATATAGCAACTGTGACAACAATGGTAGCAATTGTCTTATATTCTCGAATGGTGGAGAAGTATTTATATTACAACATAAATTGGATATCAACCATACTATTATCCGTAAGAGAGATATGGGTATTTCATTTACTAACAATGGCAGTAAACTGTCTATAATGTCATGATTGATAACTATATTTCGAGTTACCGCGCTATTACTAGCAATAACAGCTAAAGTCCAAGCAGCTAGTTCAACATGAATAGGTACTTTTGATTTCAAAAGATTAATTAAATGTGGTACTGCATTATATTGTATAACAGACATTATTTGTTCAGTAGTACCAGATATAATATTGGCTAGTACCCAAGCTGCCTCAAATTGCAACATCGGTTGGGAATTATCTTGCAACATTTTAACGCACACCGGCACAACAGAATTACTTATCATAATCGCATTTGCTTGATTTTGTTCACAATCAAGTATGTTACGAACCTCCTGAAAGCCAATTAACTGTTGTTTCTTATCATCGCTATGCAATGCATGGAGCATTTCCTCAACAGTCATTCGAATTGCTGAAGACTCTTCATTATCTTCCTTAACAGGTAACGCTTCATTTTCATTAATATTACGGCGCTCATTTATTTGATGCTCCTTCTTGGATTTGCGTAACTCAATAGTGACCTGATGACGACGATTACGAAATTCTTGAAAATTAAGAGTATTGCTCTTGTAAGAAGTTTCATGGTTTGATACTGATTTACTCATTTTGTTGTAAGTTTTAAGTAAATAATATTATATATCAATTTATTTAACACAAATTTATTCCGCTTTTCTATACACACAATTTTTGCAAACAGTTGTAGCGCACTCTAGTGTCAGCTTGATCTATCAACAACATAAGCTATATCACCTGGGTTAAAATTTATACCCATGTCAAAAAAAACAGGCCTTTTTTTTAATACTGACTCCACTGTTAGAATAAATTTGAAGATATAAACTTTGTAACATTGAAAATTAATTACATCGTATAGTAACTAATTAATTTTCCAAAAATAATTATATTAATTCTATTATATTAATCACATTCAATATTTTTATTAAATTAACGTTCAATTTATGCTTATATTTAATATAACCTATAATTCTTGATTTATATATTGCGCGTATTAGTCTTAACATCAAACACTTTTAAAGTCATTACACTAGACATATAACTACAGTTTTAAGACTACTGCTTTATAAACACATGTGCTGTCAAAAACAGCTGATTTGCTTATTGAACATATCTTTACAGTTGTTGTGCATTGCGGTGGAAGCATTATACAATTTATAAAAATATTAAATAAATATAAAAGAAATTAAAATGCGTTTAACAAATATGCTATTGAAAAAAGTGAAAAGCAAGTAAGTATTAATAAAAATATATATAAACAATATATAAATATTATATTGAATATTTTGGTATTCTTGTCCAGGCGCGTAATGGTTCTTATGGAAAGCGTTGTCAGTAATCATCAGTTTACCGCAATGCGTGATCGTTTAGCAGATAAACTTGAATTAATACGTTTTGATCCATATAGTGAGTTAATATTATTATGCTATTGAATATTAAATTAAATATATTTTATTTCAGTACA